AAGATATCCGAATCCAAAGCAATATTCCATTACCTTCAAGCTCAAGTTGGCCATGAAATATTTCTTCTTTGTGCCGATGAAAAGTGTAAAAAGGATCAGTAGTTGTTGCTATAATGGAACAGGTAAAACCGGAACCAACCGGTTGATTAACATGAGGTGAGGTTGAATTTTGATTGATTTAGGACAGGTGGTTGAAAAGTCAATGCGCATTTATTTATTGGTTCACTTGATGGATTTTTCGCGCAGATGGGCGCAGGTGAGCGCATTTTTGCAGAGTGATTTCTAAATAATTTCCTGATCGAATTCCAATTTGTTGCTCTCCAAGGTCAACATGGAGAAAATCAAGCTATTAAAGTGAATATCCAGTCATCGAGGAAGAAAAATTTACCTGACCCAGGTGCGTTATTCATTAAACTGTAGCTTGAAAATATTCAGTATTTTCGAAAAACTCTTCCTCGCAACAATGGCCAACATTTTCCAATTATATGAAAAAAATGAAGTTTAATTCGGTTCAAAAAGTAGGATTCAAGCCGAGAAAAGTGGGTACCAAAAAAATTCATTCAAAGATCTGACGCTTGAAAATATTCATTATTTTCGAAAAGTTGTATTCGCTATCAAACGAAGGCCCGAATTGTAAAATTACTGTACGTTAAAATATACAATTGTCACTCAAATGGAAAATTATAGGATGCAAACCCAGAAAAGTGGGTGCCAAAATAATTTAATTGAAGGTCTGACGCAACCCATCATTTTGGGAAATATTTTCACGTCCCACTGCAACTGACTATGCCTCAGTAGCCGAATGTAATTTTCGTATTCTACGCTTTCTTCCTCACGATCCCAAAATTTTTGATCATGACTGCTTCACCTTCTTGCTCATCAGCCCTCGAAAAAAAGCTGGAAACGTTCATTTTTCTTTCGAGGAAGTACGATTATCAGCTCGCCTTTCCGGCTTGTCAAACCTGATAATAAGGCTTGGTCTCGGTTTATTTTTTTATATTTTTTCCTTAACCTACGTCGAACCAGTTGTAATATATTATCTCGGGCTACAAAAAAAAGCGTTTAGATGGGATTTAAAAGGTGACCTTGCATGAGGAAAATTTTTCGAGCAATTTGAACGAGAGGAAAACTTTGTCAAGTTTTGGAGAACGGTTTTCACTATACACATTAAATCAAGTTCAAGCATGAATTAAGACGGTCCCCGTTGATGATTTTGTTGTTGTTGAGAGTAGCAAAATTTAACTGAAATTGATGTCTCGTCGAGAGAAAATCTGAATTTGACTGATGATGATAGCAAAATAGAATAATTCTATTTTCGTCAAACGAAATTAATTATTTTTCCATTTATTTTTTGAATATTATGCTCTTGCACCATTCAATTTCATTACAAGAACAGTTATCCGATTAAAATGTATCACAAATGGAGCCCTTTTTTTTGGAATAAACCGTTTTCCGTTAATTATATTTTCAAGCGAACTCTGATTTTCTTTAAAATTGATTACTGTGAAAAATCTTCTGAAATTAGTCCAGTAGACTAATTCTAGATGAATTACCGTAAGTTCATCTTTAAAACTAAAATTTTAACCTTCGATATAAGGATATATACAGTATGTCTGTGAATTTAAAAACATAAATTTAAAGACACCAGGAAATGAACTTGGATAAATCTATTCACATAAGGTGAGAGTGACTAAATTGATGGTTGACTGCATATAATAATTTATACATATATTTCTGCTTGTGGAATTTGAGGCGCTCAGTAAATACAATTGAAATGACAATAGTAAATAAATGTAGAGAAGTTATTTTCCACACCAATTTTCCTCCAATTTTCTAGTATTTTCCTCATCAAATTCACATGCGGTTTGCCCAAAGAGGTTGGACGAAAATTGATTCCCCGTTGCTCGGGTTTTCTTCCCACATTAAAAACCGGTCTTTGGTTACTTCTTCTTTGTTCGCGGCTTTTTTCCGCCAGATTATTTCTTCCCCCGCTCATTTCGCCGGTGGAATGAAAAAAAAAAATTTAAAAACAAAATCGAACACCAGAAGAAGGTGGGAAAATTAATTCGTACAAAGAGAAGCAGAAAAAATATGGAAAGAAAAGAGGCGGACAAGGAACGATAAGGAAGAAAATTGTCTGTGTATAGCAGCTGACGAGATTTAGCGGATCCGGTCATGCTCGCCTGGTTATTCTTCGCTGCGTCTTGGCCCTGAAATACAATACGGTTTCTCATTCTCACAACTCGGAATAGTGTTTATTTTCGAGGAATGAAATTTCAACAGCGAAAAGCCCGAAGATTCTGTGAATTTGTTGCGAAAGCCACACATCTTTGCTTTCGTAGCTCAAAAATCAGGAATAAGTTTCTTTAGAATTTTCGTAAATATTCGCAGACTATATTCAGCGCGATATTCATCAAAAGCTCACTTCTGTGAAGAAAAAAAAAAAACGTTCGAAGCATTCTATTACTCTGATTGTTATTCGTTTTCCCGTCATGCACAAATTTTCAATCAATTTTTAAGGACTATGTGTGTTTTTATTATTTTTAAGGATAAGTAATCAAGGCAACATCGTAACAGTTATGCGTAGTAAATCCCCTAATTCGAACGGGATCAATGCTGTTCTAAAGGAAGTATTTTCTCGGGTTTCCAGTTAAAAATTAACGCTATATTAATGGGTTTCAATGCCATAATGTTTTTTGAGAAAATAGATCATTTGTGACGTTTGAATAGCGCAAAGTTCGGAGAAAACTGGAGCGGTTCAATTATTTTTTCTAAAGGGAATAATTCATTGTTTATAATTGAAATTTGGTGAAGCATGAATATACGAGATCAACAAAGCAATTCGTTTCGATCTATAAAATTTTCAACTATTATGCTTTGGTACTTGGGTCAGCTGTGGATTTTGGTCACGCCGGGCAAGAATAAATAATTCGGATTTAATACCGTTCTGCAATTTTGTGTGTGTGAATAATTTTTTTTCTTTGAAATGCAATATTTAAGATTTTTTATTCATGTGAAAACCGACTTGGCTTTTGTGTAAAAGCTGAGTATTATTTTCATCTTCCAGTAGCCTCGGAAATTTGATTTGAATCGACTGTTGAGCAGCAGTCATTTCATGAAAATTGCTACCCCCAATTCTGAAGACCAATCGTTCTAACTTCAATCAAAATTTTATTTAAATTCGGTATCGCATGTTTTTTTTAATATTCCATATTCTAAAAATGATGCTGATATCAGCATCAGTACGTGAAATGGTGCAGGAAGATGAGGTAATCGACCTTATGTCCAATAACGCACAAGGACATCAGTAACACGATATTCATCCCTATGATGACAAGAGAACTATATAGTGTTCTTCCTCTTCTTAAGTTGCTGGAAGCACATATAAAACGACGAATCAGATGTCTTGCGCAAAAAATTACCAAGAAACTTCTCATTTATGTCAATAAGATACTATAATTTTAATTGATTTACTTGCCAAAAATACTTGGTTTACGTCCTACAATGAATGAATGAATGAACAGAACACTTTATTTGCCGCTTTTCAGCATTCACAAGGTTCACTCAAGATTTCCACAACCAAACCCCCTTCCCACCCAATGTATATCCACTCAATGACATTTTAATCACTTTAGAGCAGGAAAGCACAAATTGCTAACAAAAATAGAAAAAAATACAATACAATGTGAAATACAACTGGACATCTGACATATATGCAGCATACACCCATTCATTCCCTGACATTGGTAACAAAATATATGCAAAAATTAATTTAAAGTACGAAGTCTTCAGCTTGTTTCTGTATGAGGTTTAATTGAATGAACAAATTACAGAGAATCTTTGATGAGAAATCATATAAAGCCAACAATTTATCTCAATCCTTTAAGATTTCAGAAAGGGTCTCTTCATTGAATTCCTGTGCTTGTAAATCTATCTTAAGCTTGTTTCTATCAGTATGAAATGCTGGACATAAGAAAGGCAACAGACATCAACAAAGCAGTTATGGATTGCATATGATCACATGATTTTCAACTACATTACAGCTCAACTTGAATTGTATTGTTTGAAAACTTTGTGGATTGTTTGAACTTTGATGATTTATCTTTACCGGCCATCAAAGACCTGAGTTAGAATCCCAGAATCTCCATTCAAATGCAAGACACCCATACATTTTTTCACCTACTTGCAAATGCTGGAACACTGAAATAACGTTTTGATCAAAAGCCATTTTCAGTCCAATGCATGAACAGAACAACTAAGGATACAAATTCATCACCCTGTAATTTTTGCACTTTCTTAAGATACTGTCATGCTTTTGGACGCATTTGAATGTACTGGATTTCGTTGAGTAGATTATTTAACCCTTTTTATCAAGGCTTTTCATAAAGCTAAATGCGTCAGATTGCTTAAACCTGTGTTCCCCAACCTTTTTGGGCCTGCGGACAGGCAAATGTAAAAAAAAAAAATTGTGGACGAGCCAATTACCAAAAAATTTCTGCAGATGACTTGGCAAGTGTCATAAATTTTTGGCAGACTTGCCAAAGTTTAGCTTGAATGATTGCTTAAGCCTGTGTTCCCCAACCTTTTTGGGCCTGCGGACTGGCAAATGTATTCTCACGCCAGCGCTCAAACCAAACACATCCTTCTGAGCTCTTGTGAACTCTCTTCAAAATGCAAACCACCTTGTCCAAATTGAAGTGACCTTTTTTATATTTTGTGAATAGTCTCTCCAACCAAGTGAAGAATAAACTTGTACAAATCTCATACATTGTTTTTCATTCAACTCAGGCTAGAGAGACCATCACTGATATGCAGGTAGATGTGAGACAAATTTAGTCAAGAATATCATCAAGCAATTAGAAAGGTGGGCTTGGAGAAAGGTTTGCCAGAATGAAAAATAAAATAATTTATTTTTGCAGAAAATTTCATAAAACTTTGCTGGTCTGCAGAAAATTGTATGGAAATTTGCTGGTCCACAAAATTTTTTTATGGAAATTCGCCATCCATGGGACCAAAATGGTTGTGGAACACTGTTCTGTATATAACTGGCCATAAAATTCATGCAAATTTGCAATCTCCCAAATTTATTCTCCGAGCTATAACGCCTCTATATCATCATCAGAAACAGTGATAGGAGTTAAAGTAGGGAGCAGCCATCGTCGCAGCGAGACCCGAAAGAGCTGCACAAAGAGCCACAGTCAGTGAAGAGGATGGTGACACTGTCATGGCGGCGCTGTTGCATAAGTCGTACGGGCCGCAGTAACATTCGGTCACGGGATCCTTGATCCCTGGCATCATAAAGCTTTTGCAATGCGCGTTGAACTGTGTCCCTCCGCAACCCTTCTTCGTCACGGCGCCCTGAAGATTTTATAGTACAGAAAAGCAATATTAATAAATGTCGAGTTGATGCTGCTGTTGGTCGAATTAATGAGGTAATTTCAGGTCAGACTGTTTATATAAGAGTCGCCGTAATATATACACTGGCAATTGTAAGGGACATTCTTGAAACATCACAGAAGAAAAAAACAAAACTGTTCACCTAAAAAATTCTCTAAAATAATATTTTTAAACATTTTTTCTGAAATGCCTGCTGTAATGCATTTGTAAACACCCATGCCAGAGATTTTTTACTGCAAAAAATCAACCTCCGCTCAGTTTTATCCATTCAGAGAAACTAGAAAAAATATAAATGAATTAATTAGTAAGAATACACATAGACTCTCTCTACAACAATGACCTCTGTATAAGAAAATGTTTTGGTATCATAGTTGAATTGGGAGGTCCTGCTCTCCCAAGGTTAAAAATTTTCTTTGCAAAATGTTATTTGAAAGAATTTTTTCTGGTAATTTCAACTTTGTTTTAGAGAGAATCCATCTCATGAAAAAAATCCTGACTTGCAGATGCCCTGACATATGGACAATTTGACTTAGGACACTAGAAAGCTCAGAAAATTTGCCACAATGATATCCATAATATATAGCCTGACATCTATACAGACATTTTCTCAACATACAGTATCTAGAAAAACGGGAAAAATTGATATTTCTTGAACAAATTGAGATATTTGTATTCACAAAAATAATAATGAATGCCATCATAAATTTACTCAAATTTATGCTGAATAAAGAATATGTTAGACTTATATGCTTCTTTTAGAGTATTCTCTGTCATCTGTGCACAGTATGTGATGTATATATAGCAAAACTAGTCCTTCCTCTTTGATTTTTGGTGTGTTTTTGGTACCAAAAGATCAGATTCTGCGTGGTTTTCTTCGGCACATTTATATTCTTTATTTTCAAATAGAGAAACACATTTTTTTCTTCAAATTTTGGGGATTTATTCATAATTTTCAATGATGAACTAATCAGACCCAACGCAGGGTCAAGATTCAAGCACCAATCATGTCTACAACTTGGGTTCTCACTGTAAATAAATATAAGCAGGTGGTGCCCCACCATTTGACCCAAATCAGTTGCCAGGTGAGGGTCAAATTGTGAGACTATATCAAATTCAATGTTTTCTATACATCAATTTTTGACATTTTTAGTCTCTCTGCAGGTAGAATTGCGGGGCAAGAGGTCAAATTGCAAGTTGACATCATCCCAGCAAATTTGACCATTCAACTGTGGGATGGTCAAATTGCGGGATATCAAATTGCAAGGTACCACCTGTATTATATAAATTAAGCAATGAGATAAGAAAAGAAAAAAAGAAACTGACGTGATTCGCGGGATCGAATCGGACCATGCAGGAGTTGCTGTGAAAGCATCGAATATCCTGCACTGGCCCATGACGGCATTCGCTTGGGCTGCCGCACGATTCGCACCAAATCAACGCGTCGGTGACGCCAACGACGACACAAAAAGCGACCAGACACGTACTGACACATGTCCAGCTCGTCATCGTCGACGACGCCTCATCGAGGGACCAGCATATATATACATATACATATGTCCTGGTAAAAAAAAATAAGCAAGGGGGAGGCTAAAGAAACAAAATAAAAAAGGGAGAACAACGGAGTTCTATAATTTAAGTACCGTAAGTAAGTACTTTCTTCTTTCTCATTTCAACACCGGTTTTCTCATCAACGATTTCCCCGCATGCTGCTTTTGGGCAGATCCTCTTGAAGGCCAATGCTCAACAATGAATCAATCATTTTATTTTTCAACTGGTTTTAGTGAAGCCGCAGTTAACGGGTTCCTTCATCGACTTTTCCGCGGAAATACGGAAAATTTCCTGGTTTTCGTCCTGTGGTGATTAATACTCGTTTAGAACAACCAAAAATGTAATTTTTAAAATCCGTAACGAAGATGGAGGAAACATACAATCATTGAAAAATTGATTGGCTCCTCTCTGCAATAAGCTGTTCTTCGCCCCTTTCTGGAAAATAACTTCATTTTCCAATCAGACTGGCGAAATAAAACCTTTGCCAAAATAAAAATAAATTGCTGAAGAAAGTGAGATGAATGGTAGGCAAGATCATTTATGAATCTCCGTTGGACCAGATGGTAGCTTTTGTTGGCTGACTAAAATTCCACGAAACTTTTCATGATTTTTTTTTACAGGAAGCATGATGATGATGAAGTATTTCACTGAATCTCGTGGGATTTGAACAATTTTTGACAAGATATATTGCTGGATCGACCTTGTGATCTTCTCAACGTTTCTCCAGTCAGAATGCAATGAAAGATTTTACCATATAAATATCAAAGTGACAGAGAAATTTCCCATGTGATGTAAAGAGAATAAATTCAGCTTATACTTATACAATATCCATGCCTTGAAACCTGGGAAAATTTGAATTCGATTTTCTTCAGCAAGGAAAAACAACTGTTTGGCCTTTTTTATAGCCTTTGGAGAATGTGATGTAATTATTTTAAATATCATGGAACACATTTTGAAGGCTGAATAAAGATCAGAAAAATGGCACTGGAGATTCGCACTACTTTTATTTTTCTTTAGTCTTTATATGCTTGCATGGCATCAAAATTGATCGCAGACGCAAAAACAAAACCTGGAAAGATGTAAATACCTTTTTCTTAATTTATATCTTTTTCGGCAAATATTAAACTTTTTCTACATCCATGCGAAGAAAATACCTTGATCCAGCAATCTTTTGAAACAATGACGGTTTTGAAAAAGTTTACCACAAATCATCTTCACGAAAAATTCAATTGTGACGTTTTTACGGACTTCTTCGGGAATATTGGAAATTTCGCGCAGAAATTAATTTTCGACAGAAGGAAAATAATTTTATGCAATTTGACAGATAAATATTATGCACATTAAAGGAAATTCAGTAACTTTGCTGAAATTTTGATAGCTTCGTTTCAGCAGGGATGTAGTTAAGACCCATAGTCCAGCAGATTTCCGAAGAAATGCAAATTTATTCATAATTAGCTCCTGTATCCGGTAAATTATTTTGCAATTTAAATTAAGAATACATCCTCTAAAGATCGCAATATTTTATAAAGTTCAATCAGCAGTTAAACGAAAAAAGAGGGACTGAAATACGTCACACCTGCATCAATGAACCTGGGAAAAAATGGATGAACAGTAATGCAAAAAATTCCGATTACTTCACAAAACGCGGAAACCTGGGAAACCTGGAGGCAATTTTATGAGAAATAAATTATTGTCTGAAATTGGCAGGCGAAACTGTTCTTCCTGATGAAATAATTTGAGAAAATATCGTGAAAATCTCAAATTTGAAGTGGAATACAGTACAGTGCTCGAACCAATTTAAAATAAGAACAAAGCTCATGGAAAGAATTTCGCGAACTCTGCAAGCTTTCAAAACTGTACTTTACCGAGGGTTTATAAAATAAAAAAAGATTTCTGCGGGCCTATTTATAATATTAAGACATGTGACGAATCCATTCATTGAAATCGATAAAACAAACTTTGTTTTTAAATTCAATATCAGTGGGCAGAACACATTTCATGCATAAAAATGCCAAAATGAAATCTCTCAAAGTTGCACTTCATCCAAGGACTGCCTCTTTGAATATGGCATGTCCTAAATCTTTCGCGAATTTAGCAGAAGAAGAGAAGGACTTGACAGATATAGAAAATATATCTGCTCGACCACAGACAAATTATGGGCCATTAAAAAAAAATGCACCGAGTTCAAGAAAGAGCAGGGATTGTGAGAGAGGTTAATAAACCAGGATCCTTAATGATTTCCAAGTCTCAAGGTATGCGTTATTACTTATGTAGCCTCCAATAATGCAAATTAGTTTCGAGGCTTGTGTTGCGAAATCAGCACATCATCATCATGGAAGAGGTTATTTTTAAGGTCGTGCAACTTATGCTCCGAAACTATACAGAAAGATAACCATCGCAAATTCGCAAAATATACTAATTTGAGGCCTGAGGCATGCAGCTGATTTATTGAACCACTGATTTTTGCAATCATCTGAAAAAATCAGCAAATCGAGATTTTAGATTTTAATCTGGAAGAGCATGTTGTATATTTTCTGCACTGGAAACTTCTCCAAAGAAATCAGTACCAAGATGAACCTTCCTAGTGAAAAAATAAAAAGGCATTCGACGATACGTTTCCTTCTGAAATTTCTAAATTTTTAAATTTTCAACGCGCACGCGGTCAAAGGAGCACATTTAATATTCAAACAGAAGACTTCCGAGAAATGCAAAGTATGAAAAATTGAGGTGAAACTTCATGCAAAGTATTTCGTTTCCTGTTGGCGAAGAGACGTCCTTATTATTTCAGGCCAACCCGTTGATGCTTCAACGTTTTCAATGGTATGTATACGTCTAAAAAAAGCAAGAAATAAAAAAAAAAATTTTCGAAGCTTTGGTCGCGGGAATTTTCCACTGCAGTAAAGAATGATAACTTTTTTTTTGCGGGTTCAGGAAATGATCTACGCGAAAATTCATTCGAGAGGGCGAAGATTTACGAACACCGAGGTTGAATTAGATGCATATAATATAGCCACACTTTCCTTAAATCTTGTCTCTCGGCTCCGTCGCGAAGAAAAACCTTGAATCCCCGGAAAGTTCACTGCCAAACTAACGAAAAAGTGCGTCAAGGATATGAACGAAAAAAAATTTTTGCATTAGCCACACTTTCCTTAAATCTTGTCTCTCGGCTCCGTCGCGAAGAAAAACCTTGAATCCCCGGAAAGTTCACTGCCAAACTAACGAAAAAGTGCGTCAAGGATATGAACGAAAAAAAATTTTTGCAGGTCACTGTGGAAACCCTCCCACATCTTTTTGCCTCTCAAGGTTGATTTGCATGTTCTGCCCGTTATAAAGACATTATTCATTCCTTGACCAGAAAAAAAAACATCTGGACGACTCGAGAAGAGATGCGAGCGGGTAATTTTGCACGTCATTTCACGACACTATACGAAGGAAGATGTTGCTCACGATTCCAACTGATTTCTTTATTCATTCCTTGACCAGAAAAAAAAACATCCGGACGACTCGAGAAGAGATGCGAGCGGGTAATTTTGCACGTCATTTCACGACACTATACGAAGGAAGATGTTGCTCACGATTCCAACTGATTTCTTTTTTTTTGAAGGCGTCTGAAAATACACAATGTTTTCAACAGGAAAATTTACGATTTCTCGCCTGAATTTTTTTTTTTCAATGCAAGCGTTGATTGGATTTCTTGAGAAAATTGCAGTAATATTCCCGGCATCATTTCACGGTTGAAAGTCAGCATATAATTTCTGATCGAATGTCGAGAACATTAAAATATTCTTACGATACAGTTTAATTAAGTAAACTTGAAAGGATTGAATCGTGCAAATTCGGACTGTCGCTGGTTTTTTTTTTTCATCACAGCACCTTTGAATCATTAAAAAACGAAAATAATTATTCAGCGAAGCATTCGGGTGATTTTTATAGTCATAATTTCTTCGTAAAATCCCGGTTCTGATTTTTTCAATCTCATTAATAATTCCAGGAAAATTATCGTGCGAAGTTTCATGCATCGCAATCAATGAATCGGTTGAAAACAAAAGATTTGTTGACAATCAATAAACACATTGCAATCTCATACTCAATTTGATCAAATCTGCAGCTTAGATGTTTCGGAAGAGATTTCTTCCGCTTAATTCAGAAGGTGGTTGAGCAAAAAATATTTAATTATTATAAAATATATTCGGATTTCTGGTGCTCACGTGTGAAGCATTGCCATGTGAAACCTTTCATACTGAAACTGGTGCAAATTGCACTTGAAAATTGAATCAGAGGAATGAAGTGCATGGAATTTTCCCAGAACATCACATCTGATTAAAAATATTTAATCAGTTATTAAATACATTTTACAATGATTTTCCAGCTGAAAGAAGTGGCCTTGGGGGTAGAAGATCGTAGCCTTGCTGTGTAAAGAACCAATGCTGGATTACATGCTCTAATTCGGCAGTTTCTTGTGTCTATTTTCAATTTAAAAACGCTGAAATCGCGCCAGTCCTTTGAAAACTGTTAATTCACACCTCAAGATGAAATTATGCAGTTTCACTGGTGCAGGAAATGCCGTGCGACCCGTGGATATTTTTCTTTGCTGGAGCTTCGAAATAAAAATCCGAGATTGCTCAACATTTTCGTGTCGTTTCATTCTTCAATCTTCTCAAAAATTGGAAAAACATAGTTCAAAAAATGGATGTACATAAAAACTGTTTATACAATGCACAACATTTCTACAGGTTCAAAATAACTTGTTCTCCTGAATTCCATGGGCTGGAAATCCGGCAGCAAACTACTGTACAACCAATTTGCTTCATACTAGGTCAAATACCAAAAATAAATGGGTTCAAGAATTCTGAAAAGTCTGGTAAACCTTGAGAAAGCTCAACAGCAAATTTGTCTTGGCAACCCACAGAAGCGCGAATCCTTTTTGTGGTAACCACTTTAAACACATGGACACGTAGACATAAAAACATAAACACAAAATTATTTGAACTTGGAAAACTTGGAGAACTGAGGCAACATGAAAAGGACATTTACCACACAATAAAACACATATAAATCTGTCAGCTGCGAACAAATTGAAAAAAAAAAATTGGAAGAGGACAACAATTTCATTGGTTTGAGTTCCAATGGGTCTCCTTATCCTTGGACATGGGTAACTCAATGGAAATTAACTATAACCAACAAAAACGTCTTTACATGGAAATTTCTCAAAGGTAATTGCATGCTGCAGACAATGCCACAAAATTCCCAGTAGAAAGATTCCTGCTATACACACACAGCATAAAATCAACACCATCACTTGCCAGCAAAAACAGGTTCACATTTTGACACATTTTGGACAAACCAATATTATGGCACGCTGAGCCAAAGAAGAGGTATAGAAAGAAAAGAAGTGCATGGAGACATTGTCAGTGGTAAAAGATCCACATGGTCTGTGCTTATAGAGGATCTATCAAATATTTTGCAAGCTAAGTAGAGTGATAAGATCATCCGGAGTAGGAATTGCCATTGCTGCTTGCAGGAGGACCATAGCTGGCCTCAGGAGCAGCTCCACCTGCTTCATTTGCATAACCATTCCCATTTTGAGCACCATCTGAGTAGCCATTCCCGTTAGAACCACCATTGGAATATCCGTTGCCAGTTGAAGCCCCATTGGAGAAGCTGCTTCCCTTGGATGCTGCTCCATTTGAGTATCCATTACCATTGCTGGCACCACCATTGGAACCACCATTGGAATACCCTTTTCCATTTGAGGATCCAGAGAAACCATTGCCATTTGAACCAAGAGCGCTTGAGTACCCATTACCATTGGATCCACCATTGGAATAACCATTTCCATTGGAAGCACCATTAGTGTTGGTAGCAGGGGCGCCATAGGATTGGGATGGTTGAGATGCGCCATTTCCATTGGCAGATGGTGCACCATAGCCATTGGAGACACCAGCACCATTGCCATTGGAATATCCATTGCCATTACTTGACTGGGCTGGAGCACCATATGCACCCTCTTGTCCAGATGAGGCGCCATTCTGGTAGCCACCATTTCCGTTACCTGAAATGTATATAGTTTGGAAGGTTTAGTCAACACTGAACCAAGAAATGAAAAATAATTCGAATAACCACCTTGTCCAGAGAAATATCATGGAGGATAAAATTATGCCACTAAGTTTTAAAAATAGTCCATTGGTCACACACACAGTACTACCTCATATAGAAATAACCAAGTTTAAGTGCCAAAGTGAGGTTCAAAGACTCTAGAACTTCATTTTCTGGTCACATACACTATAATTAATGGTCTTTGTGAGACTATCAGCACATAAGTATCTCTCAAACTGCCAAAGCTTATGAAAAAGGTTTCTTGTAATATTTTGAGGGATTTTGGATAGTAACAATGCAAAGGTTGCACCTCTTACTGCTTACAAACAGTGTCAAAAATTCCAAAATCCAGTGCATATTTACAGTATCTGATTTTTTGTTCCATATGCTCTCATCCAGGAAAATATTCTCAAAACTCATGATGAATCAATTAAAATGTAAGCCTGGATCAGATGAATTAATAACAAGCTATGAACCATCACCTTGTATATTTATATACCCTAGCTTAATAATATTTAGAGTTTACAAAAATCTGTTTGTGTCTGCATTCCCCAAATGACTTTGAGACTGTCAAACTGAGAGAATTATTTCGGAATGAAACATTTACCATTTCCAAAGGAACTGTAACCATTTGAAGCTTTTGCTCCATTTCCGCCATTGGCATAAACGCCACTACTAGAAGCCCCATTGGAAAAGCTATTGAATCCTCCATTGGAGTATCCACTGCCAGTGGATGCACCATTGGAATATCCATTGCCAGTGGATGCACCATTAGAATATCCATTGCCATTGGATGCACCATTAGAATATCCATTGCGTGCAGGTGCACCATTTGAGTATCCATTCTTACTTTTGGCGCCATTCCCATTAGCATATCCCGCAGCACCATTGGATCCTCCATTTGAATAACCAGCTGATCCACCATTGCCCTTAGAAAATGCATTTCCATTTCCAGATGCTCCAGTTGAGTAGCCATTACCATTGGCTGAAGGGGCGCCATAGCTTGATGCTTGACCATTGCCATTCAATGGCTTCTGCTGAGGGGCACCATAAGAAGATGAAGGGCTTTGAGAACTGGAATATCCACTTGCTTTTGATCCACCATTCTGCCCAAGGGATGCACCATTTGAGTAACTATTGCCATTTGAAGCACCATTTGAGTAACCATTATTCCCATTGCTGGCACCACTTCCTTTGTTAGCTGAGGCACCATTTGAATAGCCATTGCCAGTAGATGCACCATTAGAGTATCCCTTTCCAGCAGAAGCTCCATTTGTGTATCCATTGCTACTGCTGGATCCACCATTGGAATAACCATTGCTTCCAGAGGCACCATTGCTCCCAGCAGATGCACCATTTGAATAACCTTTGCTTCCAGAGGCACCATTGGAATAACCATTGCTCCCAGCAGCAGATGCACCATTGGAATAACCATTGCTTCCAGCGCAGATGCGCCATTCGAATAACCATTGCCTCCAGCAGCCGAGGCACCATTGGAATAACCATTGCTTCCAGCAGCCGATGCACCATTGGAATAACCATTGCTTCCAGCAGCAGATGCACCCTTAGAATAACCATTGCTTCCAGCAGCAGATGCGCCATTTGAATAACCATTGCTTCCTGAGGCACCATTGGAATAACCATTGCTTCCTGAGGCACCATTGGAATAACCATTGCTTCCAGCAGCTGATGCACCATTAGAATAACCATTGCTTCCAGCAGCTGATGCACCATTAGAATAACCATTGCTTCCTGAAGCACCATTAGAATAACCATTGCTTTGAGAACCCCCATTAGAATAACCATTTCCTCCTGCAGAGGCACCATTGGAGTATCCATTAGATTTTGATGCACCATTGGAGAAGCCATTGCCATTTTTGGCACCGTTGGAGTAACCATTTCCATTGCCTCCTGCACTAGAGAATCCATTTGAGCTTGCTCCATTGTAGCCATTAGCCTTGGCTCCATTGCCATTACCATTGGAGTACCCACCAGATTTGGCACCATTGGCTTTAGCTCCATTGCCATTAGAGTAACCATTGGTATTAGCACCATTGCTGCTTGAATATCCATTTGCCTTTGCCCCATTTCCATTTGAATAACCATTGGTTTGTCCATTAGCCTTGGCACCACCATTTGAATATCCATTACTTTTGGAACCACCATTGGACTTTGCTCCTCCATTTGAGTATCCATTTCCATTGCTGACTCCTCCATTTGATGGTTTCTTGCCATTGCTTGCCCCATTAGAATATCCATTGCCATTTGTTGGTACTCCATAACTGGCAAGTGATGCACCATTTCCATTGCTTGATCCGCCATTGGAGTAGCCATTTGATGCTCCAAATCCACTGGCTGACCCAGAGCTGGAGAAACCATTGCCATTTGCTGCTCCACCATTTGAGTACCCATTGCCATTTGATGCACCACCATTTGAGTATCCATTGCCATTTGATGCACCACCATTGGAATAACCATTGCCATTTGATGCACCTCCCTTTGAGAAACCATTGCCATTTGCTGCTCCACCATTTGAGTAACCATTGCCATTTGATGCACCGCCATTTGAGTAACCATTGCCATTGGATGCACCTCCATTGGAATAACCATTACCATTTGATGCACCACCATTGGAATAACCATTGCCATTTGATGCACCTCCCTTTGAGAAACCATTGCTGCTTGATGCACCACCATTTGAGTAGCCATTGCCATTTGAAGTTGCACCATTTGAGTAACCATTGCCATTTGATGCACCACCATTTGAGTAACCATTGCCATTTGATGCACCACCATTTGAGTAGCCATTGCCATTTGATGCTCCATTTCCATAGCCATTGCTGCCCTTAGAAGCGCCACCATTGCCATTCCTACCATTGCCATTGGTGTAACCAGAAGCAGCACCATTTAGACCACCTCCATTGCTGTAAGAGTCACCATTTGAGTTCCCGTTGCCACTAGCAGACCCTGCGCCAGGGCTTGCATAACTGTTGATGCCATTGGAAGCCTGTCCTGCGTATCCATTGAGAACATTGGACACGTCTGGTGCTTGTCCAATTTGAGAGTTGAGCTCAAAGAAGCTTTCAGAGTTGCTGCAATCCACGTTGTACCACCAGTCGCAGACGAAGTATTGTTGGTTGAACACGGTTCCATTGGGACACAGGAAACTGTCCTTTCGGTCTCCAGCCTGGCAAATGTGGAACACCTGTGTCCAAAAAGGAGGGAACCGACAAAATATAAAATCATCTGGTCAGATAAAAGTTGGACATCAGTTCAATTTTTTTACTCAAGCAATATTCAAATCGTCATCATGACTGCAAAATTATTTTTTAGTCAGTCCGCATCAACAACAGTGATAACATTTATTTTTTTTTGTGGCGTGCAGTCTATCGCTTTATTTCTGTTTGAAAAGAATCCGTGGGATTTTCAAACATTTTAATAATGTTTTTATTTTTGAAAATCAACGTGTCAAAAGTTGAAGCTATATTAGCGGAATAAGCCAGACAAGAATCTTCAGGTGGTCTCAAAAGAACCGTCAAACTTCAAAGCCCAGTACTGGGTTCCGTCGAACCCCCACGCTGGTAATCTGACCAACAAGTTGCATCAATTCTCTTCGGCCTAAATTTGCATGCAAATCATCTCCCGGAGGAAACGGTGGAAGCAAATTTGAACATTGATGGACTATAAAATCAGGTTTGTGTTGGAGTGGCAATCGTAACTTTCTTCATTCACAAGTACTTGAAAGTCTAAATTTGCATGCAAATCATCTCCCGGAGGAAACGGTGGAAGCAAATTTGAACATTGATGGACTATAAAATCAGGTTTGTGTTGGAGTGGCAATCGTAACTTTCTTCATTCACAAGTACTTGAAAGAATTGCTTGCAACAAGGAAAGGTGCCCTTGGGTGAACAAAAAAGAAAGCTTTCGAGAATCATCGTGGAAGGATTATTCAAACACCCCGATGTCAAGTGTCAAGTTTGATTGCCGATTATTTTTATATAGGTTTCAACTTGAAATAAATATTGATCTCCCTGAATTCCTGAGGGTTTCTTTTTGGTAAGCAAGAAAGCAAGTGATTGTTGCGTGTCCCTGAAGATTCTTCTATCTACCTGCAGAGGATTCTTTTATTTCCAAATAACTAATAACTGAGTAATTATTTCGTTGAGCAATTATTTTCTTCTCCGAAACCGAAGACAGCAATCAGCAGCCCTTGGAATTCCCGAAGTTCGTCCGAAGAAACCGACTTTTTTTCTTTTTATACGACAAAATCGCGTGACACGATATTTTCAACTCTGCAATTATCCAGGCTATTATTGAGAACTGTTTGCGTAATGACGCGTAACTATCATACATCTTTCCCAAATCGTTACTCTTCTTCGAAAAGAAATAATCAAGAAAAATTGCATCTAATCTTGAACGAAGATGAGTGAAACAAAGGGAGCCAGGAATTGCGCATTATTCTGCCCAACTCTAAAACCGTTCCCGAATCTTTTGACTTATTCTTTTCCCAATTTTCGACCAAGGACATGCCTACGAAATTAGCAACAGCAAAAAAATTGTTTGCACAATTCACTTCCCAGAAGTTTGAAATATTATCCTCGCAGAAAACCGCTTGAATGATGAGCGTATTCGAGATGAATGGAACAATGGGAAATATTGAACGAAAAGGTAATTCTTCCTTTTACACAAGACTTTGTTCGAATATTGGAATTTAAATTGAAATGTCGGCTGAATGGAAATTCGAGTCGAATTTACTGATGGTTTTCGGGAAAATTTATCCCGAAAATTCTGACCTCATGGAATCATTAAATAAGTCCTGTAAATATTTTAAAACCTCCAGAAACATCTGCCTTTTACCTACAAACCTTTTAAAAATTATATCAATGGAATTCAGTCAAACAATTTTGTTTCTCTCAAAATTTTAACTGAATCATCCCGTTTTTGGCCTGC